TTAGCAATCATATGCTATAACCATGTATAGTGTTGTATACAACAGAGGCGTAGCGTGGGGGGGGGGGGGTGGTACATGTCCCCGGGCGCCGACCTTAGGTGGCGCCAAAATGGGTTGGAAAAACAAATTATAGTTTGAGGGGGGGTGCAAATAGAAAGTTTGAGGGGTGGGGGTGCAAATTGAAAGTTTGAGGGGGGGGGGGGGGTGCAAATGAAAAGTTTGAGGGGGTTGCAAATTGAAAGTTTGAGGGGGTGGAAATCAAAATTTGCTCCCGATGGGGCGCCAAATTGAAAGTTTGTCCCCGGGCGCCGGGAAGGGTCGCTACGCCTCTGGTATACAATAACGGTTAAAGCTCCATATGTATTTCTGTATAAGCTCATCCTCTTCTAATTTTATTGTAACGTTGATTTACCTTCTCAAGTCTGTTTTTTAATTATTATTCCCAATGTTTTCATTTGACTATCAGGTTATATTCCCATTCGTATCAGTTGACGGTCCGACCTCTCCGGCTGGGTCTTTATCATGTATAAATAAACAATTGTTTTCGTTCTAACGTTATAAATTAAAATATAGAAAAAAAGCTTTTTATTTAACTTGCTTTCTCGTTCTTTTTGGCTTCTGTCTTATGAGTCAAAACGGGGGAAGCAAACTTCGACCACTTCTAACAGACCTATTTATTTCAAACTTGGTCCGTGAGTCTAGATCCAACAAGTTTGACTTAATTGGATGCTTACTTAATTTTTAAGAATTGATTAAAGTTTCTTATATATAGTACTATTTTTTCCGCGGTATTATACACATGTTGGCGTTTATTCGGTATGTAATTCTAAAAACATTTTAAGTATTGAAAAATAAATTATTAAGAACGTTTTAATAACAAGCTTTTTTTATATAAAGATGCACTAAAAAGTAGAAAACCAGTTATTTTCTTTAAATATATCATAATGCACTATTTAAATAACTATATAGAAAAGACTCGGTCACTCTTTTATCTACTGAATACCTTCGCTCGATTCCCGAGCTTCATGCGCCACATGGTTCGAACCCGGGATCTTTTGAGTTAGCAATCATATGCTATAACCATGTATAGTGCAGGGGCGGAACTACCATACCGCCAGACCCCGCAGTGCGGGGGGGCCCAGGACGTTTAGGGGCCCATTTCCGACCAAAAAACAATGAATGTTTTTTTCAAAAATTATGTTTTCCATGCATCTTAAAAGTGGTTTTGTAAAAAAAAAAAAAAAAAAAAAAAAACAGGTCTACTATAGCAGAGATTGTTGCGTAGAAAAATATTTTAAAATCTCCAAGGGCTATAGTCTGAAAGGTAGGCAAACATTCACACAACTTCCATGACTTACTGCCCTTCTTTAAAATAGGGATGCCCACGAATCTCATTTACATAGTTTTGTACTATGTATAGTAAAAAGCAATTGATTCTCTGAATTGTTATTTAAATAAGACGTACTAAACAATGGTACAGATATAAAAATCAATGTTTTCAAAATTGATATTATAAAAGCCAAAAATGAAAAAAATAAACATAACGCGAGAAACCATTCACGAATTAAGCTTACGTCTTTATATATTTTTGACCAGTTAAAAATGAAAGGTGTAAGAACAAAGAAAAAATGTGTCTAGTTTGTTCTCTCAGAATGGTTATATATTGCAATGAAGTAGACTTAATTACTCTGTTTAGATACAGATTATATATATATATATATATATTATATATATATATATATATATATATATATATATATATATATATATATATATATATATATATATATATATATATATATACATATATGGGGGGCCCAAAAAAAAATTTTGCGGGGTGGCCCATTTTTTCTAGTTCCGCCACTGGTATAGTGTTGTATACAACAGAGGCGTAGCGTGGGGGGGGGGGGTACATGTCCCCGGGCGCCGACCTTAGGTGGCGCCAAAATGGGTCGGAAAAACAAATTATAGTTTGAGGGGGGGTGCAAATAGAAAGTTTGAGCGGTGGGGGGTGCAAATTGAAAGTTTGAGGGGGGGGGGGTGCAAATGAAAAGTTTGAGGGGGTTGCAAATTGAAAGTTTGAGGGGGTGGAAATCAAAATTTGCTCCCGATGGGGCGCCAAATTGAAAGTTTGTCCCCGGGCGCCGGGAAGGGTCGCTACGCCTCTGGTATACAATAACGGTTAAAGCTCCATATGTATTTCTGTATAAGCTCATCCTCTTCTAATTTTATTGTAACGTTGATTTACCTTCTCAAGTCTGTTTTTTAATTATTATTCCCAATGTTTTCATTTGACTATCAGGTTATATTCCCATTCGTATCAGTTGACGGTCCGACCTCTCCGGCTGGGTCTTTATCATGTATAAATAAACAATTGTTTTCGTTCTAACGTTATAAATTAAAATATAGAAAAAAATTGCACGACGAACGATTGATTTAATGACATGAGGAAACAGACTGAGATGAAGTGAACGTAGAACTCGCGCTCTGTTCTCGCGACATCACTGTCGTCAGGGCCAGTCAACACAACACACCTGAGCAGGAACTGCAGTGGCATTGTACACGGGCCCGGACAGCTTCTGGGGCGTACTTGGAGGCACAACTATGGCTGGCAGAGTCGTCGTCCCGTCCCCCCCCCCCCCCCCCCCCCCCAGGAATCAATACGGGATATCGAGTTTCAGGTACCTGAATTTTTACTGGTTATGTTATGCGCCGAGCCAACTGGAGATGTTTGCATTGTTTCAGCAATACCTGCGCATGTCTGTTCAACTGTTTAGAGTTTGAAGGCAGAATTTACGATAGGTTTTTCGTGTAAATCACCAAACATATTGTGAAACACCCGCAAGCCTAATAAAATAATAAATGTATCACGTTTCTTAAATTAATATTTACCCAAATCAATACGAAAATAAATCGTTGTTTACTAGCAAAACTACGTATAAAAATAGTATGCGCTTACTTAAGACTTCTGATAATTGCCATTTAATATTTTCGGGAATAATTATTCTAAACAATTAATTTAAATATAAAAAAAAACAAATAGGGAAAACAAAACTGAACAGCTTTAATTACAAAACTGTTTTTAATCAGATTTTTTTTTGTAAAAATATGATATAAACTAATAGCTTTACACAAATAGTATAATTACCAAGTGGCAGCGTGGGAAACTCTAAAGCCGCTTTTTTCTATTCTATATTTCCTCATGTACTTCCTCTTAGGGCCATGTTGGGGTATGTTTGGCAAAGAGTTGGGATTGCTATAGATATGTTATGGAAGTTTGCGACAAATTCGCTCGTTTTTTTGAGACACCAATTTTAGTTAAGATAAAACACATATTCTGGAGGGTTTTTTTTTTGCGAAAACGGTAATAAAGTACAACTTCCTGTTATCGGAAATCGCTTAAAACTAGAGAGAAACATAAGCTTAAGATCTATAACTGATATTTTAAATTTTGTCTTATCACTTTACTGAAACAATAGTCATGCTATCAGTTTTTGCAAAAGCTAAAATAGAGTAAGTACCACTTCCGGTGACGTGTAACGGCTCAGAAGTTAATAGAAAACAAAGAATATGATCTAACACTTATAAATTAAATTGAGTCAACACAATTAAACAGCACTCAGATTATCGCGTTGCACTCAATAGTTTATACACCCACAGATAAGATTGCAAAATAAGGTGGTTTTTTTTCCGATTCAGGAAGGTGTAAAATGTCGAGATTTTTGAAAATCTCTATTTCGATTATTACACGATTTCAATACTCTCGCTATACTCCGTTAACAAGAAAGTAAATAAAAACAGTTGAAGTACGGACATTATCCCGTAGAGTAGTCAGGGCTAAGCAGGAGAGCGAGATTTCCAGGACAAGACCTATGTAACTATGTAATTTAAGATACGCTTACTGAAAATTCGGAAGTTACAGGTCAAATCTGAACTACAAGATTGGACCACAAACTCACACACAGCTATCTTGTTGATTTAAGAAATGTGAGGTAAGGGAGGTAATCGGCTAAACTTGTCTAATTTTGTAAATAGCTCTGTAGCCAACATAAGAAAATAAGTTTTCAGACTGCAACAGCACAGTCATATAACTAGATACTGTAATTAATTACTAGAGGTAAATTTGAATAAAACAAATATAAAAACCTTTAAAATAATAGGCTTTGAAATAAATGAAAATAAGAAAATAACATTGCATTAAAAAAAAACACCTTTAAAATTATGTTTTTAAAAGTAGTGCAAATAAGAAAATAAACTTGGTTCTTTAATAAATGCTTTGATTGCTAATATATATAGTTTTTCAGCGCATTAAAGAATAAAAAAACGTATTATAAAGGTTATTGCAAAGTTGGCCTACGACTAAAAATATTTGCGTTAAAACCCGACCAGGCAAAAAAAACAGCCAACCATGATCAAACAGTTCACCACTGATGGCTAGCTGATTGACCAATCACTATTAATCTTGTTATCTCCTCTTTCATTTACTGATTACCGTCATCTTTAAATTAGATTTTATTGAGTAACCTAATGTCAAATTAGATTTAAAAAATGGATATTCATGAATATTACAGGATATGAACGTATCTGGATAGTTTGAACAAAAGTGGAGCATTAGAAGTGGGTCAAAGTTGATTTACAAGATTTGTCACATCCCAAAAATAAACAAAATAACTAGCAGTGTGAACTAAATAAAAGCTAATAAAAACATAAATCAGCTGAGCTGCACAATCGTCAGTCTTATTTGGCCTCCCAGGATTGTGACGAACAAAATGTTTACAAGTCAACAAAGGGTCTGTCCCCTGAAACTGTCAATAACTTGTTAGTTACTTTGATGTTTCAGCAGTTTTTCATACTTTTTATTTGAATCAATAAATCAGTTCTAAAAAATTAATTAAAAAAATAAAATATCTAATCCATTGCAGGCAAAATGTGTAAATCCAGAATTTAAAAACTTGTACTAAATCCATGTCTTAAAAAAAAAAATTAGTGAAGAACATAGCTGGGTTGTCAACAATTTTATTGTACAGAACCAAACAGCAACAAATCATTCTCACAAGTATTCCAGATCAATTTATACAAAGACAGGTGAATAATAAAAATTCTATCATTAATAAAAGATACATCGTAAGTTTCTATTATAAACAAAAAAAACAACTAGTATACAATAAGTTCATCCGAATACAAGATGTGTTTAAAAAGATGGCTGGAATTCAAAATAAAAAACTAGTACAGCCAATAAGTTACAATCAATAACTGCCACTAGAGTTAGTAATTCGGTATCAAATCTAATGTAAATCTATGTAACTCTACACAGTATTATCAAGAGTTTCTTACAACATATCTGTTTCATGGTTTTCCAAACATTATTTTATGAAAAGCTATCTTTACAGCATTCCCAATATTTATGAATTCTTCAGTACTACATTTCTTAATAAATATTAAAAGAATTTTTAAAAAAGTATGGGCCATATTTTTAAAAATAATTACCAAGACTATTTTCAGATCTTATCTGCTAAATGCCTTTACAGAGCAGAGAACCTTGTTTACAAATAAATTTGCAAAAAAATGAAACAAAAATTGGCTGCCTTCACTTTAGTTCCAATAGAGTTTTTACAAAAGTTTGATCTTTTCTATGTGCTCTAGAAACTGGGACTTGCTGACAAGGCCAGGGTATTCTTTCTCTTGGTCTTTGTGAACTTTGACCCCTTCTTCCCAGTCCCATAAGAGAACAGACAGTTTACAATCTCTGAAATAATTTTTTTAAAAGATGGATTTCACAGCAACCAAACAAGTGTTACAATCAATAGCAGTTTAAATTTTTGAATCTTTTAAAATGTTTATCAAGTAATAGAATCTCTGTTGTATGCTAAACACACTTTTAATTTTTATGAGATGGGATGTGTGACACATCCTAGTTTCAGGCAGAACTTAACGAAACTGAGGAAAAGACACTGCAGCCAGGTGTGTGGTCAGAAAGGAGAACAAAGTTCAGACTCAATGGCAACTGTTGCAGAAGCATACAACACCTCCACCTAAACCACAACTTTAACCTCCTGCTCCCCTCACTCATTTGTTGGTGACACCCTCAAGGACTCCCTCTTCCACTCCCACACTAATTAGCAGCTTCGTTATAGATGCCTTTGAAAATAATTATGAGCTGCACAACAATTGTTTTAAAGTTTTAAATTTTTTTTAATGCAAATCCAAAACTTAATTTATAGTTTATAGATCTGAGAATACCTTCTATACTGCGGATAATTCCCTCTAATGTATGATACACTAGAATTTAAAACACAGTCCATGACTTACCTAACAGTGGCTATGGACTCAGGAGGACACTCATACAAAGATTTGCCAGTGCTTAAGTTGTACCAGTAGGCGTGGCCAGTAGACTTGCTCTGACACCTGTTCCAGGGTTCTGATAAGATACAAGAACAACCATAACAACAATACTGTAAAATCACACAATTATTTGCTTCACTAATAAATACAGAGAACCATGTCACAAACAATAATGATAATATATACTAAACTTCTATCTCGCAGCCTGTTGTAATGAAATCTTTGATCAAAAAGCATGTTTGAAGATAGCAATATCTTATTACTGACCTTTAACTGTTCTTATTATGCTTAGACCTGAAGGAAGAAAAAAATTTCCAGACTCGGCACAGTAACACAGTCTTGGTTTGTTTGCTCCTTTTACCTGCCGCATGGCCAATCTGGCAACACAGACTTAGACTTAGTGCTGGTCATTGATTAAATCATTCTTAACATACTTTACCTGACTTAATTATTATCAAAACTGGAATATAAAGCTACAGAGAAATATACATTCTATATATTACCTGCTAACTGAAAATTCCAGGCTTTTGCTAGAACTCTAGGCTATGGCAAAGTACAAAATACAATTTATTTCGTACATTGTCAGTCTATTTCAGGCATATTACTGAGAGCCTGGATTTAGCACCCATGTTTGTTGGTAATATATAAAATAAATTAAAATAAATTATTGAGAAGAAATTTTTTTCCCTTTTGAAATATAGTTTTTTTTTTAATAAACACAAAAAACCCTGTATGAGAAAACAATTTAAATAAATTGACATTGAAAAACCACATATAGCCCTACTTGTCAAATATCACATCAGCTTTATGGAGAGGGAAAATGTCCAGCTTGTGTATCTGATGAAGATCTGATCGTGTTGTTTTCCTCAGTGCTTTTATAAACTTGCTCAGTTTCTCCTGCCTAGATAAAAAATATGTGAGAGCACCCAAGTTCAAAAAGCAAGTTCTTGAGTTGTGCTCTAAATGTCAGAAATTCTAATGTCTAGTGAGGGGGGCATGAAGTTATAAGGAAAACACTGCTGAATGTTGAATAATTTTTGCAAAAGTTGCGACCAGATAAACTAATGCGCTGCATACAAATGTCAAAAGCCCTACACACTAGCAGGAAATACTGGATTGAAAATAAACAGAATGCTTGATTTTTGTTAAACTTTGGCCGGGTTTTTAAAAAAACAAATCTATTACATCTATTGTCATTTATGTGGCTCACAATAAAACAGTGTTACTATTTTGTTGATGTAAAAGCATTACCTTTTTTCAAAGGACATGCTGCAAACATCTTCCCCACACAAGAAAAATGCATCTAAAACATGGATTGATGTTTGTCTTTTCTGACCTTTACCCTTAAAACAAGAAGAACAAATTTAACAAACTTAAAAGCTGATACACTAAAATGCTAACAACTAACAAGATTAAGTTCATAATAAAATCGCTTAGCTTGATTTGAATAAAACTGTCATCATGGCAAAAAGCTGGAACATTTTTATGTGATTTTTTTCTTGCTTGAGTGTTATACGTGAATTTTAAATAACAAAACCATTAGATTGTCTCACACTAAGTAATTCTCCAAAACATTTTATAAAAACAAAGTCATCTGTTTCTATGAATGTAATGGCTAATGTAATTTTTACCTCCCCTCTGAGTTCAGTAACAGATTGCACCTCCAGTAAAGTTTTACTTGGCAGCTCCACTCTAAAGTCCAGTTTCTGCCATTTGCCTTTGTTTTTGCCATCCCACTTGTAGCAATTGGACCTCTGGGTAAGTGTAAGGGAAACAACTCAATAAACATTGCTTCATACAGCATTAAACACAAGTTTTTAATCTGTGATCTCTAGTTAGTCAATAGACACAACTCTGCCTTAAGTCTATTACTCACCCCACAACCAAGCAGGTAAAAGCTTGAGCCCTCCCCCCGCACAATACAGCTGTAACTGTACAAACTTTTGATACTGTGGAGTTTGTCCGGGGTCAAGCGATCACCAGTTGCCCCAAATACATCACTGTAACCATCCTGCAGAATTATTTGAAAACAAACAGTAAATTTTTGCTATATATATATATATATATATATATATATATATATATATATATATATATATATATATATATATATGTGTGTGTTCTTTGAATATAATGTTAAGTAAAATGACAATTCCAGCATATAAAAATAAATTTGTTTTCATAGAAATTTTTAAAATCCTAAAAAATTATTTTCACATATACCTTTTAGTCCCAAAACAAAACCTAAAAATTACACAACAATTTTTGCCCTAATTTATTATTTAGCCTGTAAAATATGATTAAAATGACTTACTTTTATTAATGTGTTGAACATTTTTTCAGGTTCAGGTCGACCAGGGGCAGCTCTCACCTCATCTGGTATCTGAAATAATAAAATAGCCATATATTGTTGTAACACACATCCTTAACAATAATAGTAAAGTAACGATCCATTTTATCTATATACTTAGAAACTATATAATATAGGTTATCAAACATACAAGTATATAATCAAACAAAAAAATCCAAAATCAGTATGATATTGGAAATGTGTGCTTATTATTTCTCACATTTAAAATAACTTTTAACACTGCTTTGCTTAGAAACATTTGCTGCAAACTCACTAAAATTAACCTGCAGAGCCTTAACCAGTGCACCTTTTTTATAGGTAAAGTAATGGAGCATCTAGATCTATGTTCCTTATCCTTACCTTCCATTTTGCTAAACAATCCTTTCTGACAGAGGCTTGCCTACTCTCATAAAGATTGCTAAAACACAATTTTAATTTTTAGAGTGGGTTTAGTTTTTAGAGATTTTTATATAAAAAAATTACCAAATATAATAAAATATAAGTAATATACTTATCAAAAACTAGTCAAAATAGAAAAAATTGATCGAGGTACCTGTTTTTGGTAAAAACTTCAATTTTTTTCAAATTTATGGCTTGAAGTTTAGCTAACCTGAGAACATAATAAATAAATGAATAAAATTTTAATTTTGATATAGTTAGAAGATAGACAAAGAATTAAAACTGGGGTGAAAATGGACTTACTCTTCATTGGAGTTGACCATGTATGTGAAAAAAAGCTCGTCATTAATAAGGGTATTGAGTGGGACAATGTGTAGGATATCTTCTGTGGACAACGCTGACATATAATGACATAGGTCAACATTGATAGTATGGAAGTAGTTCTGTACGGTTTCTTTGTTTGACTTCATGTTCTTACACACAATGTACCTAGAACACATAAGGAATAAAATGCATAAAAAATATACAGACCTCAAACATTTAACTTATGTACATCGCATTGTGAAATTAACTTTGTGTAAATGTTCAATTGCATCTATAATTTATTACGCTTCATAGTGGTTATAGCACTTGGAATTTGTCGCATACAATGTGGTTTCTTCTAAACACAAATTTTGGTGGAGCTAAGCACCATTTTTAAAAAAAAAACCTCCCCAATGGCGAGTTCTAGCCAGTATATAAGTAATATAAGTGTGTAAAAATTTATAAATAGTGTATGAATTGTGTTATAGACAGAATTACCTTTCAGAATTAGCTGGTCGACTGGTAACTGGTTTACATATGGAAACTTGTTCAAATATCATGTTCATAAGATAAACCAGACCAACACTGAACGGGGTGAATAGGTCAAACAATTTACACACAAAATGTCCCCCTAAAAATATTAACAAAGATATTTGAATCAAAGTTAGTTGATACATTTTAAATTTTTACCTTTTTAACAATAAATGTTTATACTAAAAGGTCTGCTTTACAGTAAGCATCAAATATAAGAATTCTCTCCACTATGCTTGGTTATAAGAGTTACACACGCATCAGCTTTGTTAAAAATAAAATATTTAATATTTACCAGGTCTGAGAACCATAAGGGCCACCAGAAATTGGCACAAGTATAGCTGCTTTGATAGAATTTCCTGGATGTTTTCCTGTCCTTCTACAGAGAAGCCCTAGAAATATTTTTTTTCAAGAATTCAACATCAGAAGCTTTCAATATTCATCTAGAATTTATATTTGATTTATTAAATAATACATGAAGTTAAAAACAAATGGTTGTCAACTTGTAACATCTTGGTTAAGAAATAAGTATTTTAAAAGTTGACCTACTCCATCTGCCATAACAAAGTGTACACCTTTGCCATCAGTATTTGCCAGGACAAATTTAGCAAACTCTGCTTGATTGTCAGGTCTAAAGATGTCTCCATCCCCATCTTTGCCTCCCACACCTAGATGATAGATGATAATGTTAAATTATTCCAATTATTTAATTTAAGTGTGAGCAAAAAATTACATTTAATTTTATAAAGATACGGTTATACAGCATCTAAAACAATTTATGGTATCCATTATATTTTGGCCAATTCTAGCCGGAAGAAGATGCGTATATTTACCAAACAGCGCTACAGTGACCTGGTTTTTCTTGTCATCTAAATGTTTGTTGTTCAGGTCTATGAGTTGTCCTAATGGGATTTACATCTAGATTCTATCCGCCTGACAATCCAACTAAAGTGCAACTGCTCAACCACACATTACAGTTAGTTTTGTGAGAAGAATAAGGCTAAAAGAGTAACATGAGCCCATTGCACAGCTATTTAGGGTAGAGCCCATTGCACAGCACTTAAGGGTAATTTCAGCCCATTTTTATCCTTTTTAAGGTCATTGCATTTTTTGCATCTTCTGCCGGCCAGCCTAGGCTAGGAGGCAAAAGCTTCTTCCGACTAGTCACTTTGTTATATTTTATTATTATTTACTTTCTTAATAGTGATAAGTTTGTATACAAAATAAAAGAGAAATAATCAAGCTATTTTTAAGAATACACTGGTTAACCAAATATTACAATAAGTCCATATGAATGATATTAACATAGATCTCACTTATTTAAACAAAGCAAATTTAAAAGCTCTTTCTTCTAACAAGAACATTTACCTCCACCAATTGAACGAGAAACGTGAACTAACCATAATGAGGTTCAAACATTTCAGGAGGGCCAGCAAAAAAATCCTCCAGCTTAAAGTCATTGGCACCTTTCAGGGTCATTCCAAACCCTTTGGACTCCCCTTTCCTCCTCCACAGAACATACTCACTGAACCCTCCTGGACCAGCGCATATATCAACAAAGTAAAGCAGTTCATTGGGCTCAACAAGAGGTTCCTGAAATAAATTAAAAACATTCTTTAACAAACAGTGATTGACTACTTTATCCTGATGTTAGTTTTAAAAATTTATAACATTAAATGGTTAAATTACAATGGAAGATTCATATTATCCTTTAAATAGAGACTTATCTTTAATATTAACAATCACATAAATAAACAAAAAACTATTTTATAAAATAAATATATGAAAATATGTCTCCTTTTTTTTCTACACCTGGATTTATACTGAACATGAAGGAACTTAGTTATGCTTTCCATATAAAACTAATCAATCAGATTGAAATAAGGGAAAGTAAGTCAAAATAAGCTAAAAAGGACAAATTGGTTTAAATACAAGTTACACAAAGGTGCACATTCTGAATTAAGTATTTCCATTTATAGGAGGGGGGGGGGGGGGGGGGGACAGAAAGAAAAGATAATTAATGTTTATGTCAAGATGTTTACTAAATAATCTTAAGAGTGTCATAGGGATATAGGATGCATGAAATACAAACCCCTTTGGCTGATTTTGGATCTGTGAACATGAAGCCCAAAGTAGCATCCATATTTGCCATTTTCATAGCAGCTCTGAAAAAAAAACAATAATGTTTGTATCTAAATAAGCATTAATTTAATCCAAGTTATTAGGTTTTGTGACATTATATGAATAGTAATACTATTTGAAATTGCTTTTAAATTATTTACATGAACTTAACCTATTGTTTATTTATTACATTTGATAAATGACAACAGTATACTACAACCAACAAACTGCAATTCTATCCTACAAGGAAAACAAAAATTCCTTACACAAGTTTGTATCTAGAATACTTATCATTAAAAACAAAGTTTAAAAAAACCCTTGAATTGACCTGTTTAAAAAGAAAGCCCCTCGAATAGTCTCATAAGGGTTAGATCTTGTTCTAGCTCTTCTCATTTCTTCTGGTTCCAGCACATCAAACACACTCTAAGCAAGAAACAGTTAGGCCTAAGTGTCATTTTAAGGTATTTCACTCATAGAATAGTAGATTTCACATTATGTACGTTGTATCTAATAAATCTATACAACCAACTAAGTCTTCAAATTTTTTCCATATATAAATTTCCATTTTTATTTAAAACAGTCTGATGTGTTTTTTTATGACTAAATCAAGTTGTAGACCATATTAGCTAACGTACTCTCATAGTAAAGAATGTATACAAATTAAGTTTCTTTGATTTTTTTGTTTTGTTTTTAATTAGTAAATGTAGTTAGTTACCTTTCCATTTAAAACTAACATCAGACTTTCTTCTGAGCAGAAATTTGTTTCATCATCTATCTCTCTCTTTTTCTGAAAAAGTTAATCCCTGTTAATCCATGTTTTTATTGACTAACTAATACATGAAAATAAAATGAACTAATTCAATATAATGTTTAAAAAAAAACAACAACAGGTGAATAATAGAGTAGAATAGAAAAGTGTTATTCTTAGCAAATATGAAAAAACTTACTGGACCTACAACCTTCCACTGCATCATTTCCTCTAATGTGGGCATTTGTCCAGTATATGGTGGAATCCATTCTATCACTTCATCAATAATAATCTGCAAAAATAAGAACAAAAAGACATTTTATTTAAATGCAAATTATTTTATGAACTTGAATTAACAATTAAGAATAGTTTAGAACAATAGTTGTATCTATCTAGAAAGTAAAATAGTGGGTCTCACTTCCTCCTTGCTGAAGTCCCAATCTACATCTGCAGGCTCAAGGCCAGGGACAACCATACCAAGACCACGCCGTCCCCTTTGGTTGGATGCCTCCACAATCTGTGTTCTACCTTGTCCATGTTTACCAAGCCCTTCACCTTCCTTATGACCCATTTTAGCCTAGATACGAAATAAAGGGTAACAATGGGTAGTCATTATAAAGACATTAAAAATATATTAAACCACTACAATTTTTATACAAGTACTTGTGAATGTCACTGTTATTGTTTAAGTTCAACTTGAAACATAATTTTGAAATTTACATTGAAAGCAACAAAGACAAATTAACTTTTTAACTTGAATACGATATGATACTACATTAAATTTCCTAATTAAATTATATTCTTTTAATGTAAGTTCACTTTAAAATACATACTACACAGTGAATTTACCATCATTTTTTTAGCTGCTTCTGACATTTCAACTTGGGTGTCATCCCTTTTCTTAACAAACTTTGTTGGGCTGAGAGCAAAACTTGCTTTTTGCCCTGCATCACCATCTGATGATATTTTTGCAAATGGCCTCTTTAAAGTGGATAATTTTTTTCCTTGGGTATTTGAGAAAGGTGGTGCTACTGTTTTTGTTTGAACCTTGGCAAACGATGGTCGTTGGTCTGCTTCATCCTCAGAATCTAATTAAAACAATAAGTTTGTAATGTTTAATAAACACAATGATCATACATATTAATCACATACTATATTACACACAAGCATTCGAACAGGCTAATATCTATTTTAGTGACCTCTGCATATAATGGGATAGTACTACTAATAGTGTTTTCCTAACTTTTGTGTTTCAATTATTGACAATTATGTTTCAATATAAATTAAATAAGCTCAACTTGAGGTTTTACCCTACAAAACTGACCTAACTAAGAAAGGCTACATAGAACATCATATATAGTATATAGATCTCTAATAAGTATCTAGCTACACTCTAGCTAGAATGAAATCTAGATCTAGACTAGAATCTAGATCTAGCTGCTAAAACACGCAGCTAGATTAGCTGCTAGATTGTAGATCTAGACTCTAATAACTTATAATAATAAGAAGTAGAAGATTCATTCAAAAATCTAGACCTCTAGTCTAGCTAAGATCTAGATCTAGATTTAAATTAAAATTTTCTAAAAGTAGAAGTAGACTACCTGTTAAGGTTGACATTTTCAAATAGAAATCTAGATCTAGTAAAATTCTAGATCTTATTTAGATGTAGATCTATTGTCTATTAAAAGTATTAGATCTAAATACTAGTAACTAGACTCTATTTTGGTCGAAGGTTTTCTCTGAAAAGGTAAAATCGAAAATCGGTGTTTTTGGAAATTTTGGGAAATTCCCTTTTTAGTTTTACATTTAGTGTTAAAATAGATATTTTAATACTGGTCGTAGTAATAGCAATATGGGGTAGGATTAGAAAATTGTCTGAAGAGAATGCGCCATCCCCACCCTCTGTCGGTTTAAAATACGTTAAATTGTGGTATGGCATACTATGATTTAAAAAAAAATTCGTTTCGAAATAATGTCTCTTTGGCCTGCATTTCAGCCCATAGCAAATATTCCTCCCAACCTACCCCACTAAACAGAGATTATTTTAATTATTTTTTGACCCCCCCCCCCCCCCACACACACAACTCTCGACAGCACATCGAATCGCCAGTTTAAAAATATTAAAACTTTCAGGTTTAAAGAAAGTAAAATTATACGTTTAGTGTAATGTATGAGTGTCAGAAGTTGTAAACTTTGTACTAGATACTTATCTACACTCAGCAAATAGATGTGAACGTCACACCATCTAACTACTGAACAATGTTTACACTTCGCACTTGCACTTAAATCTATCTTACAGTAACCAAAAAAACACTTTATATTTAGAAGCTATATACTATGTTACCTAGCGTGATCTCTTTAACTGGCGTGTTATTTTATAATTCACGAAGAACCTTATTTTTTCCCCTTAAAAATGTAACAAATACTGTTTGTAACCATTGTAAAAAAAACATTTTGACATATAACATAGTAATTTATTACAATGATTTAAAAAAAAAAACAACAATTTTGTCTACAATCAGAATTAAATATATTATAATGACAATTACTAAAACACTAAATCACAAAGAAAGCTCATATTTATTTGGCATAAACACGCGCTTTGCCCAGGTAAGTTACAATTGCAACGAATAGAGGAACAATTTGAATAATATGTTACAGCAGATATAACTTGTCAACTAAATATTACAATTTATCATTGCCTTTCAATTGATTAAAATACTCTATGTTGAGAGAGGGGGCGGTAAAAAAAATTTCGGGGGGGGGGGGGCTGAAGCCCCCCCCCCCCCCCCAGAAGAGATGCCTGGAAGAAACTCTGCCCGTGCTCCCCTCCTGTGTACGCAATGCTATTATGTGGCTACGCCGTACGCCAAATCTAAATTACAGGAGTTGACCGGGCCTATTACTTAAATTAGTTTAACTTTTCCAAACTACCCCCCCCCCCCAAACATTGACAGAGATAATTTTTCTTTTTATTACTCTGATTTGTTTCGGATGTGCGTGATTGTTTTTAGTTTTTGCGGTTGGTTTTTATAAACAAAAACATGGAAAACCGTGCAGTTTTTTTTTGTTGGAGTAGTCTCTAGACTCTAGACTAGTAGACTCTAGACTCTAAATCTAGAAATCTAGTCTAGATTCTTGATTTACATAGTTATTATGATTAGACCGAACGGATTAATCAATAATTTTCGGTCTGTTCGTTGTATTTTCCGTTTTGGCAAGGTAGGCCCAATTATTTTTAAATATTTTTACTATTTTTTACTTACAAAAAAAAAAAGTTTAAAAAGGGGAAGTCCTGACTTTGTTTTAGTTTTAGTCTTTTATTTTTAATGAGACCTTGACTTAGACTACTAGATCTAGATCTCTAGATCTAAATCTAGATCTAGTTCTACCTGTAATCTAGACTCAGTAGACTGCTCTTTAGTCTAGACTCTAGCTAGAGTACTTTAGGCTCTAGTCACTAGTCAATCTCTACTCTAGTCTAGTCTAGATCTAGATCTAGATCCTAGTCTAGATTCTACGGGTCTAGTCTAATCTATTCTAAGTCTAGCTACTAAGTTAGATCTAGATCTAGATTCTAGGACTAGATCTAGTGCTAGCTGCTAGAGTCTCTAGTCTCTAGAATCTAGATTTAAGAATTTAAGATTAGTCTAGAAAACTCTAGATTCTAGATCTAGATCGAGAACTTAAAGCAATTCTAGCTAGATCTAGTGTAGCTAGACTCAGAGTCTAGATACTATCTAGACTCTGAGTCTAAATAGACTAATAAATAATAATACCTAGGCCTATAGTTTAGTTTTAGAATTTACATCTAGATAATCTAGAATCTAGAGATCTAGTAAGTTAAGTAAGAGTTCAGAGAGTAGTTTAAGAGTGAAAAAACAACTTGGGAAAATTGTGATGGAAACATGAATATTGATAATAATAATTAATAAAATCCTAAGGCCTAATAATAGTAATTAAAAATGTTAATAGACAGTTGAATAGCATTGCGAACTACTAGAACTAACTACTAACTAAACTGATGTAGGCCTATAACAATTTAATTAATAGGCCTAATGGATTTCTTTCTAAAATATTTTTTTAAATCTACTAAGCTGTCTAAGCTTTGTCAACATTATCATTAACTGATTAAGAATAAGTTGGTCTAGGGTAGTGCTGTATGAAAGCCTTGAAAACTTACGGGAGCCACCAGTTACACTACTACTGATTAGGTTTAGTCATTGAATGTAGTGGCTCAACATATCCTTAGTGTAGGGTTCTCTTAAAATTAAAAATGAATGTAGGCACCATTATGCTCACAGGGGAGCCCTGGTGTTCCAGGTCATCCCATTGCAGACTGATGCGTCTAGTGCAGTTAAACCATTGAATAAAGTAGTACCTCTGATCCTCTGTGCTAGACACCCAAAAAAAAAAATGATCCCACATGCTGATAGAAACTTGCTAAGGAACTCTGGGTGCCTAATTGCAACCTGTCGAGGTACCGCCCCTTTGAAATTAAATTTTTTTGAAGCAGAAACATTCCCTGGAGTATTTTCAACAAGTATGTTCACACACTTATATATATATATATATATATATATATATATATATATATATATATATATATA